TCTGAAACAAGATTGATTGATTTTCAATCTTTGATAACACAACCAAATGTTCAAGCCAAGAAAGAAGAGACTTTAAGGGGAGTCAACACAAAGAATTGATCAAATCCTTTTGAATTTTTTAAATATAATCGAGCCAGATAGGGAAAGAAATATATAATATAGTTAATTCTACATTCTATCTTTCAAGAGCCAACAAATATTTATATAAAAAGTGGTATTTTTGCAATTTCTCTTTATTTGTTTAATTGTTTTGGTTTGATTTTGATTTGGATTATATTTAGTTTTGAACAGAAACTACAACATTACAATTTTTTTCCGAATCCAATTAGGATAATTTGATGTATAAATTGTTATATTATTCGAATTATTTTGTAATTCAGTTCAAACTCAATTTAGAAATTTTTTGTTTGTCATCTCAAAAGGCATATCCAACGTACCTCTATTTTTTTTCCTAAACTCTATTTTAGAATTAAATTTACTCCAATCCACCTCTTTTTCTATCTTTAAAATAAAGAAAATTGTAGTATTCCTATTAAATAGAGGAAAAAGTGTAGAATTGCTATTTTTCATCTATTTTATAGTAATTTTTATATAGAGATACATTGGAAATGGTCTAAGTTAATACAAAAAAAAAACAATTTTTTTCTCATAAAAAAACTGGAAAAACGAAAAAGAAAAACATTTTATTCGTCTCACTCTCTCAAACTTTGTTCGCTGCAGTTACTATTGGGCCTAGAATTGAATAACCGGTCCAAGTCCACTAATATTAATCACGTGGTTAATTTTTAGCATATCGGAGTGTAAAGAGAGTCCCAAGTCCCAACCTTTGGATGTTGTGCAAGCCTGCGTTGTTTGATACAGTATAATTCAGTTCATTTGGTTTTAGCAGCTCTCTATTGCATGTCCACCTAAGTTCAAGCCTACTTACTGCCTTTTCTGTCTATAATTGTTTTCTGAATTCTTACGTTTCAATTAATCTTTACTTTTTTTTCCCTAAACTTTTTAATATCGTCACAATGCCTTTAATGGACTTTTCTCTCTCTCCAAAGTTAACATATTGTTTCCTCACATTTTTTTTTCATAATTTACCTTATTTTAATTAAGTTGTCCATAATTCTTTCAAAAATTACATAAAATAACAATTAAATCGTATATTTTTTAATAAATATGGAAACTTTATGTATCATTTACAACTTTATGTTAATACTTAACAGTAACAGTAAGGATATTTAGAGTTTACAAATTTTTATGTATTTTTAGTTTGATATATTCAGTTTTAATTCCTTTATATATGAAAATATGTAAAACTCTATAGTTAGTATTATTTTTTTATATTAGCAATATATTTTAACTAATTAAATTATACTTAATATTTATATATAGTGGCCCCATATAAAAAAAAATCTATGGATCCGCCCTAGTGAAGAATTGTCTCATCATCTTTTTTTCGTTTTCCTTAAAAGGTTGGGACGATTACAAAAATACCACTTTTTGTGTGCATATTTGCAAAAATGCCATTTAGGAGTGTCAATTTTCAAAATACCACTAATTATAGATTTATAAAGCATATATCTTAAAATTCTAAATGCTAAAAAATATTTTGACCCCTAAACCCTCATAACTAAACCCTAATAGAACATAATTTTTAAAGAAAAAATAATTTTTAAAAAGTGGCATTTTTATAAAAATTTCAAGAGTGTGGCATTTTTGTAAAGTGGCACTTGAAAAGTGACATTTTTTAAATTTTCTCTATATATAGGGCACACTCATTCATTATTATCTCCATCACAATCAAAATACTATATCACG